AACACACACACACACACACACACACACACACACACACACAAAACTACTGAAAGAAATAATCGTTCAGACACAAACACGAAGGAATGTAAACTAGATCTTAGGAGCATCCAGTTATGAAATGAATGACTAATCATGATTGCTGATGTCTGTTTCAGATCCCTCACTTGATGAGGATGATGATGATGATGATGATGATTACCTTGATGATGACATTAATGATGAGTTCTCTCTGAAACGGAGTGTCTTATCTGCTTTTGTTATCTGAATGAGTAGAAAAAAGCTTACAAAAATAATAATCATAATGATGGAAATATTCTAAAAGCAATTTGCATTAAGTACATTCCAGAAATCAAAAATGTATCGCTGCCTCTACAGTTTTACAAAAACGAATTCCATTTTTCTAAATAAAGAGTTTGAAAATAGCCGCCTAGACACCGCTGATTTAATAGTCTGGCAAAATGATCTTAGAGATGGAGAGAATTATTATGAAGCTCTCTTCAATACGGTAATTATTTCTTGATTTTTGTCGTTGGCTTCTGCATGTGACAGCTTTCACGTCAAAGCTACAGCCTAATTAGTGTACAATGTAGCATTGTTCTCTTTGAATCTGAAAGGCCTGCAAAAAGTCTCATAGAAATAGGAAAATGTATGAATTCAAACGACGCTCTTTACAATAATTATCCTTCTCGTTAGATTACGGTTATAACAGCTTTCCTGTCAAAGTCTTTGACAGAATGATAGGTATAGTATTGTTCTAACTGAACTGCGTTTTCGCATTCCTTTAGGGAAATATACGATTCCAGCCTCAGACAATCCTGAGACAAACTTTGTGGAGCATCTTGCCCAACGACAGGTACCATGCCCTGACACAAGACCATTCCCTCCAGGGGATTTATGAGTAGCATCGCGGCGAAATCAAGCGCTAGTTAATATTATGAAATCGAGGAATCGACATTTTTGCTCACTGGGCAATGTTACTTGGTTTTGTTTTGGTTTAAGACCTTTTAGGTCTATTTTAAAACACATTGTGTATACATTTTGCTGAAAAAAACCCCCATTACCCAAAGCGCACACACACTCACACACACACACACACTTACACTCACACATACACACACACACACACACACACTTACACACACACACACACACACACACACACACACACACAAAC